CGGCTGTGAAAATTCTGTCCAAGAAATCACGGCAGAAACACGACTGAACTTTTTTTTCCGGTAATGCGTAATGATTTTCACTTCGTTTGTACTTATTTTTAATTGTTTTTAAGATAAGGAGATGTCCTTATCTAGCATGGGCTCGGTTGTAGCAGAGTAGATTCTAGAACCGAATCCCTTCTGTAACTGAACCAATTCTCGATCATTCTATCACTTTAGCTCAAGAAGAAATAAAAATAACCAAGTTACATCAGCTGCACAACACACACACACACACACACACACACACACACACACACACACACATATATATATATATATATATATATATATATATATATATATATGTGCACATTTCATTGAAAACTACGTTTATTTAGTTTTTTATACAATTTCTCATGCGATCTAATAATTTTTTTTCGGATGATAATTTATATATAAACTGTCCGAATGTTCTTTTTATCCGAGCGCTTTCAGCTATACATTTAGCCATTTTCAATGAATATATTTTAACTGTTAAAATTAGAAATAGTTTGTTGTATGTATGTTTTATAAAATGTTTGACACGCAGACTCACTCTACACCTTTCTGACCATAGCTCAATTAGATCTCATTTAAATATTCATGGAGACCTACCAGACACTATTCGTAACATACTTGTTGACAACACAAATATAACAGCATCATCTACATACAAAAAAAGGCTAAAAATAATAGAAGTCGTATTAATAAAAACAAACAAATCAACACTTAATAATATTAACTTTGAACATGGATAATATCTTGACTGTCTTTTGAAAAATGTGTGAATGAGAGAAAATCATGGAGAATTGTGATTAAAAACAGTAAAATGCTAACCGAACGCTCCTATGTGGCCCAATCGGTTAAGGCACGTCAGTCTGTATGACGATTGCGTATAGGATACAGGCTCGATTTTCTATGAAAATTTCTTCGGATATTCAGGCCGGTAAATGTTATTAAAACTATTTATTATAATCAGAGCATTTACTTAAATATTTGTATCTATAAAAAGTACGTCTAAACATAAAAAATGTCATATATATATATATATATATATATATATATATATATATATGTGTGTGTGTGTGTGTGTGTGTGTGTGTGTAATTCATTGAAAATATAAATCCTGGTTCAAAATAACATACAATACGTGCTAAAATTGTCTGACTTTCTATGATGAAGATTTGTCAATTATTATTTCTTTGTGACGCGCGTTACTTCCATCTTATTTCTCTTGCTTTTTCACTTGGTAGTAACAGTCTTACATTGTGTGACTTTCTATGAAGATTTGTCATTGTTCATTTGTGACGCGCGTTACTTTCATCTTATTTCTCTTGCTTTTTCAATTTGTAGTAATAGTCTTAAATTGTCTGAATTGTTTCAAGTTATTAATTCGAGTCTAGTAATATCTTTCATCTCATTTCCGATGTATTTCTACTCATTTCTAATGATCTTAAATTGTTTGAATTTCATAGAAGGAAGTTTTTGTCAATATTAATTTTTTATGACTTTCTTCTTAATCTTTTCTTCTGTGTATTATATTGTCACTTCGATGTTTTTGTAATTATTCGATTAAACTGGAAATTGAGGATTTTTAAATGAATGTAGAATTTAATCGTTGTGAATTTGTTTTTTATATGTTGTATTTTTGCAAATGGCATCTGCTATGTTAACAATCATTCTACTTCATGGAGATTTCTGGAAATGTTCAATTGTCTTTCTGGATTTGCATAAATGGAATACATTGTGATCCATGTCTTCCATTAAATACGTAATACTTCCTGAAACCGTTTTGGTTTGTGCTTGTCTTGAAAAATTTTTGATGTTGATTTTATTCCTGGGGGATCTCGCTTTAAAAAGAATAGATTAAAGGGAATATAATTTGTATAAAATGGAAAGTAACAGAACTTAATTGGCATTAGTGCGTACGTTTAGATAAATTCAAGATCGAACCTACCCCCCAAAAAAAAAAACTGATTTCAGTGAAAAAATAAAACTAATTATATACTAAATATAATAAATTTAATACAACCAACTTAATCATCCGCAATATCTCTTCGTCGTCAACTAATGTTTTTCAAAAAACCAACATTGTATATCAATTTCAATGTTCTTTGTGAGATTGTATCTCTGACAAAAAAGTAAATATATATATATTGGTTTATCGACAACAACATTATCAAGAAGGTTTACATTACACATGTCGGTTTCTGTTCTATTGCATAAAAAAATTAAAAGAACATTTCTCTCCACATAAATATTAATTGGCAATACAACTATACTCCAGCATGAAAATGAAAACAAAAACTCCAGATTCTTCAAGCGCTCTCGATTAAAAAAATGCAACCAAGCTTAAATAGGAATTTAGCAATAGTTCTCACAAATATGCTTGGTTAAATAATATGGACAAGTACTGCCAATCAATCTATTTTATTTAATTTTTTTTAAATTTCCGAATTAGTTATTTTGTTTTATTGCTAAAATTTGCCAAAATTCATATTTGTTTTTATTCTAATTTATTTTCCTTCCGGAGTACTTTCGAATGTTGCTACATTCGTTTCCAAAGATTGTTCGATGTACATTTACACAAATGTTTTATTTTTTTAATTCCGGCGTTCTCACGTTTGATGGAAACAGTTTCAAGGCATTCAAGGTGACGTCATACAAACGGTCAAACTGAAGTTTTTATGTTTTTTATCATACTTCAACATACGGTCCACTATTGCAAAACGTTTTTAATGTTGGCTGCTTTTCATTTATTACAAAAGCTTCCAGAACTCGGAGTTTTTCTTTGCACTGTGTCCTACATAGAATTTTGGTGTTAAAAAATTTTCCTTATGTTAATATTATTTTGCATATTTGTCATATGTTCATCTGTCTGTGCACCAACTGTAATAAACAAATGACAAGTTAATCTACGAAAGAGTGTGGTGCATGTGTAGCCAATGTAAGAACTTAATTTTTTTCTTGATTTTTGGTGTTAGGGATACAATCTCCTAAAGGACATAAGAAACGTGCACCATTCAGACAAAGAATATGGCCAGGTCTTCCGCCGATGTGTTAACAGTCATCAAGCTCTAGATGAAAATAGCGAAGCTCGAGTTGCGACTCGCGATATCTCGAAGGTCTTCGACAGGGTTTGACATGCTGGATTCTACGCAAGCTCAAGAGCTACGGTGTCATGGGACGAATATTTGGCTTAATTCAATCGTTCCTAACAAATCGTATAATGAAGGTTGTGTTGAGCGGGCTCGCTTCCAGATATTTTCATACGAAAGCGAAGCTTTTCCAGCGATCTGTTCTAGGACCTTTGCTGTTTCTGATTTTCATCAATGACCTCCCTAATATCATCAGTTCCCAAATAGGTGTTTATGCAGATGGCGCTGCAATTATTCCTGTCTTAGTACCAAATCCGACAGAGCTAACAAAGTAAATTTGGCAACAACTCTTGAAAAGAACATACAATCAGTGGTTAACTGGGGCAAGTATTGGCTTATGAAATTTAACGCTTCCAAAACAAAACTGCTTTCATTTGACCACTATAGAGAACCTTTTCTATTTGTCATTAGTATGGCTGGTGCTAGACTCCAGGAGACTAAACCACTACGTCTTCGTGGTCTCAAGTTTTACTGACAGGAAGGTGGACGACTATATCGAATCAACAGCTGCATCTACTTTATGTAAATATGCTTCACTGTGTCATGCTAGACATTTTTCTTGTCAGAATCCGTCTTACACATTTATAAATCTACCGTGACGGAGGCTTCCCTCTGCCTTTTCTACAAATATTTTCATGCCACCTGCTCTGAAGAGCTTTTTGTCTTTGGCCTTCCGTATGTATAAATTTAAGCGAGCTACTAAATTGGCAACTAGGTCCCAAAGTTTTACAACTGATATATCTAGATGTAAACACCATTTCTACTCTAAAAGGTTCTTTTCTCGCACTTCGCACCTGTGGAACTCCCTTCCAAGCTTTTGCTTCTCTAGAAGCAACAAACTTCAAAAATTTAAACCCAACATCGATCGCCATCTTTTTTTGCCTTGGTTCCTGATTCTTTTTGTCCTTTCATCGAGACCTCCCTATTCTCAGTATTCTCATGCTCCTTCACTTTCATTCCTGTTCATATATATCTAGCTTTCTTCATATCTATTTATTTACCTTAATCTATCTATCTATCTATCTATCTATCTATCTATCTATCTCAATATATTCATATCTATCTATCTATCTATCTATCTATCTATCTATCTATCTATCTATCTATCAAATTCTGTTTATATCTATGTATCTAAATCTACTCAGATCTGTCTAAATCTGTTAATATCTATCTATCTATCTATATATGTTCATCTCTATCTTTTTTAATCTACTCAGATCTATCTATCTATCTATCTATCTATCTCAATTTGTTCATATATATATCTATCTATCTATCTATCTTAATCTGTTCATATCTATCTATCTATCTATCAAATTCTGTTTATATCTATGTATCTATCTTAATCTACTCATATCTGTCTAAATCTGTTCATATCTATCTATCTATCTATCTATCTATCTATTTATGTTCATCTCTATCTTTTTTAATCTACTCGGATCTATCTATCTATCTATCTATCTATCTATCTTAATCTGTTCATATCTATCTATCTATCTATCTCAGTATGTTCATATCTATCTATCTATCAAATTCTGTTCATATCTATGTATCTATCTTAATCTACTAAGATCTATCTCAATCTGTTTATATCTATCTATCTATCTATCTATCTATCTATCTATCTATCTATCTATATATATATATATATATATATATATATATATATTCACCTCAATCTACTCAGATCTATCTATCTCAATCTATAAATCTCTATGTCTGTATTACAGTTCATCTTAATCTGTCCATATTTATCAAATTCTGCTCATGTCTATTTTTATATCCATCTTAATGTACTCAGATCTATCTCAATCTGTGCATATGTATCTATCTATCTATCTATCTATCTATCTATCTATCTATCTATCTATCTATCAATTTGTTGTGTTATGCCATGGTTTAATCCTTAACAAGATAGTTTGGCCGACTATGACAGCTGTCTCTGTCATGCTCGATTTCCAACACGTCCGGTAATGCTACCTGTGTCGGTAGATTTAAATCTGTGTCTCTGTAATCTAACCAAACTTATATGTTTTCATATGTAACTTTTCTGACTTGAAACCGAGTATATGTTTATTGGTTATGCAGCCAAGGACACAATCTTCATATTAGAATAACAATCTGTACATACCCCAATGTCTGCAGCGTAACCAGTGTGCCAAGAATATTTTAAAAAGCCTACAGTAAATAAAATTAACTCCAGGTCTTATTTTCCCAATGTGTAGAACACAAATGAAATGCGTCATTTGCTTCATTTGATTTCGCTTACTATTTTTTCTCATCTTTTACTCTTTCTCTTCTCTTTCATTATTGCTTGTCCGTTAATATTTCGGCACTCCCCCTATTTTTCCCAGCGCCATCTTCTTGTGACCCCGACTTTCCCGGTTGCTTTATTTCGCTACACTTGTATGCAACACAATTCATTGCCAATTACTAATGGCTGCTGGCGGAGTGATTTCACGGTGGTAATTAGTCGTCGCTATTCGACCGGAAGTGCTTCCACCGAAGGTGAGAGGCGGGCTGCAGCCATTAATAGCCCCAATTATAACTGACATAATTCCTGACAAAATGGCGGCCTTTATCTGCTTATTACTGTCACTTGTTTGACGGAGTGGCTGGCTCCGTGCCGTTTATGCATTAGACGGTAACATTGCGCCATCAGTTTTATTTCAATCTTTCTTTTAGTTTAATGCTTCGTTTTCTCTTTTCTTTCTTTTCTTTCTTTCTTTCTTTCTTGCTGCATTGCCTTTTCATTCATTTTTCTTTATTTATTTCATTCGGCATTTGTTAATTTTTTTTTCTGTCTTTATTTCTATTTTGTTTTTTCTTTCTTTTATATTTTTGTTTCTTTTTTTTGGTTTTTTCTTTTACTCGAATTTGCTTTTTATTTACTTCTATTTTTGTTTCTTTGTTTCTTTGTTTCTTTCTTCGTTGCCTTTTTAATCCTTTTCTTTATTTCATTCGCCATTTGTCATTTTTTGTTTCTGTCTATCATTCTATTTTGTTTCGTTTCTTTCTTTTATATTTTTTGTTTCTTGTTCTTTCTTCCTTTCTTTCTCTTTCTCTATTTCTTGCTTTTTTCTTACTTTCATCCTAATTTGCTTTTTTATATATATTTCTTTTCTTTATTATTTCATTCTACATTTGTTATTCTTTCTTTCTGATTTTGTTTCGTTCACCCTAATTTGCTTTTGATTTCTTTCTTTTCTTTCTTTTTTCTTTCTTTGTTTGTTTCTTTCTATTTTGTCTTTCTTTCGAATTCGCTTTTTATTTATTTCTTTTGTTTTTTCCTTCTCCCCCTTGCCAATCTATCTATCTATCTATCTATCTATCTATCTATCTATCTATCTATCTATCTATCTTAGTCTCTAAGCTTATCTATCTATCTATCTATCTATCTATCTATCTATCTCAGTCTCTAAGCTTATCCATATGTCTATCTTTCTTAATCTCTAGACTATCTATCTATCTATCTATCTATCTATCTATCTATCTCAGTCTCTAAGCTTATCCATATGTCTATCTTTCTTAATCTCTAGACTATCTATCTATCTATCTATCTATCTATCTATCTATCTATCTATCTCAGTCTCTAAGCTTATCCATATGTCTATCTTTCTTAATCTCTAGACTATCTATCTATCTATCTATCTTGGTTACTTCATATCTCTCTATCTGTCTATCTCATGATATATTGGTTTGGTTTGGTTTATTTTGGTTTACGGCATATCAACCTCAATGGGTCATTTAATGCCGACAAGGTTTTTATTGCTTGTAATTTTTTGTCTATCTATCTATCTATCTATCTATCTATCTATCTATCTATCTATCTATCTATCTATCTTGGCCCCTTCATATCTATCTATCTATCTATCTATCTATCTATCTATCTATCTATCTATCTATCTATCATAAAATTTCCAGCTGTCATTCCTCTAGGAACTGACTAGGTTCAACGTTACTTAACTTTGGTGATTTGAACAAATTAAATTATCTTAGTCATTCTTGAAACGGCGATTTCCAGATCAGAAGGGCTCACGGCCATATCATGTTGTTAAACCAGTCCTCATACTGTCACCGAAGTTAAGTAACGTTGTCCCTGGTCAGTACATGGAGCAACAACAGCTTCGGAATTAACAGGAGGTGTAATAGATAACGAACCCAACTGGAATTGGAACTCGGCCATTCGATTTTCAATTAAAGTTGGGTTCGTTATATTCACTTACACGCAAATAACCTTGGGAAAGGTATCAATCCACATCTCGCGTTAATTATTATGACTTGTATCATTAAATCCTTATCTCCCCCAAATTCTTATAACTCAAAAATGTTTTCTGGCTTTAAAAACCTCAAAATGATTGACAAGCCGTAAAAAAGGAATGAAACAATCAATCCAGACCAGAATGATGATTCCGATGCTCCAGTGAATTAACCCCCCCCACACCAAAATCATTCCGAAATTTAAAGAATAAATATGGATTTAAAATTAGATAACACACTCAATGGACAGTAACCTATGTCAGCTTTTGTTTTCTTTATTTTCCTTTTGTTTTTATTCTTTTTGATTATATATATATATATATATATATATATATATATATATATATATATAAATTTAGGTAAATTTAGGTAATCCGTATGGGTACACCCGAGGAGGATGATATCCAGAGAGCTCAATGTAAAATTCAGAGCAGATATGTTTGAATAAGGGCCTAATTTTCTGCTAGTGACATCTGTTCCAAATTTCTCCTCTAATATTCTCCAATTGGAAGTGAATTTTAAATAGCACGAAGGGAAAGTTTTAGATTAGTATTTTAATTGAGATTGAAAGATACTACCCCAATGTGGAAAATAAAATTATTTAAATGGGAATAACTGTTGATAACTGGATACATAAAAACAACCACGAATTTACTTAATGAACAAAAATCAAACGAATAAATGTCAACCTAACAAGCTATAAGATAAAAGTTTTAGTGGAAAAAAGTACTAAATATAAATTGGATTGCTCTTTCAATGTTCTGTCTATGGATTTTCCAATCGACTGCTTCATAGAAAATACCCAAAACTCCACCGAATTTCAAATTAATTTCTTCGTAGATTGTTTGAAAATTTAGATATTTATCAAACCTTAACCTCCCAAATATGCACGTTAAAGTAACGCGAACTGACAGCGTCTAAGAATTTGAATGAAACCTGTCGTGTAATTTATTGGGGTTGTTGTAACGTCTCCCTTTAATGTAGTTCTTATCGCTCACCCTTAACCACCTTTATCTAGAGACGAGACGCGTTAAATTTGAGCAACATCCAGCCGACACACTGGGGTTAAAATAGGAAACTGAAATGATACATATGACACACTCATATCCTCTCTCCCACCTCACTTCCTCACTTCGTTAACTTTGCGTATACTTGATGAAGTCCGTAAAAACGTGTGAATTTTTTTCATTTTCATTTCAGCTTTTGGAAGTAAGTCTGATGATCCAGAACCCTGTTAAAGGGGTTATGGTGAAATAGCTTATTACATGGAATCTTAACGTGGTCTGTCTTTTATTCAAACATATATATATATATATATATATATATATATATATATATATATATATATATATGTTTCATTAAAACGACACACAAGGTACTACGATTGTTTTTTTTATTTAATTTCTCTTATGTTTGAACAAGTGCTTTCTGTTTGGGACACACACTATGTAAAAACTGTCCAAATGTTTTATAACCCCGAGCGTTTTCGTCTATACTTTTAGCCATTATCAAGGATGATTTTATTTTTCGGTTTAACTGAGTGTATGCATTTTATGTATGTTTTTAGTGTTATAGAGATATAACGTCATCCACCTGTAAAAAGAGATTCAAAATAAAGGAAGCCCTAATAATAAAAAAGAAAAAGCCAACACTTAACTACGAACACGTCTACGCATCTTGTCCTGAACCAATACTACTTACCGAAATAATACATCACTTTCTAAATATGTTTGGAGCTTAAAAAATGATAAGGTAAAATAGAAAATTTGCAAAATGGCAAGAACATGTACATCTTTATATGAATCCTGCTTTCTCTGTTTACATAAAAAAACTCGAAATCATCAGATTTTTTGATAAAAATTCATTGGTAAATCAAAGAAGTGAACCAACAGTACATTGTAAGTATAGTTTACCTTTTACCTTTCAATTTTGTTAAACTTTGCAATTTGATAATGCGTTTTTATATTTTAGTTGCTTTTTTATATTTTAGTTGTACTGCCTTGCACTCTATATGGCTTATCTTTCTATTTGTAAGATTAATCTGGATTTAATATAATTTTTTATTATTTTCCTAGTAGTATTGGTACCATCTTGTACATATATATTGGTATTTGGTTGCTATTTTTGACATTTTCCATTGATTGATTAGTGTTCTTAACATCGTATATGAAGGGTCTTTATTTAACAGTTACATATTAATTTACCAAATAATACTATAAGTTGAAATTATTTGCTAGTTTCTGAAAGAAGCTATTTATTTATCAAGTACAAAAATATGTAGGAAATTCGTCAAGCATATAACTTGTTTAGCATTTTTTTAAATTAACTCTCCGTCCCGTATTTATTTCTTAGGAAACTGCATTGTCTGATTTCTATACCATATGTATATGAGACCATATGTATCCGATTTAGTTTATGTCTGGTTCCTGGCAATCTACGGGTCATAACTCATTTATAAAAAAATAATTTTTAGTTTTTGATTCTTCGCTTGGTTTAAATTTAACGTAGGTCATATTTGAATGGTTGATCAGAGTAAAGCCCATAAAACTTATAACCTCGTTTTTCTTCTTTTTTGCGTAAAGAGAGGTTGTATTTTTCTTTTAAATCTAGATAAATCGTTCAGTCGTTAGTAATTTCCAATTGCCTGATGAGACGCATTGATAGGCATTGAAACACGACTGCAATTGTGTAGCGATTTTGACAGGTTTTCGGTGTAAAATTATAACACTAAAAAATACATAAAACGCACACGCTGGATTAAACTGAAAAAAAAAACAGAATCATCCTTGATAATGGCTATGGCCGGAAGCGCTCGGAATTATCGAACATCTGAACAGTTTCTCCACACTCTTTGTCCAAAAAAGAAAGCTGTGACACTATTTGGCTTGCTAGAAAGAAAGAAGAAAAAAGAGAAATGGCGAGAATTAAATTTAGGTGATAAGAAGCCATCACGAACAGGACACGTTGTGATAAATATGGCAACAAAGATGAGGACAATAGTCCGAATAATGTAAATAAAGAAAATAATACTGAACTGTTACGTGACATCTGTCCTTTTTTACAGCAGAGAATGTTGCACGATTTCGTCAAAGAGGAAGAAGAGACTCGAGGTGACAGAGATATGGTTCAACAGAAGGATGCTGAGGATATCATGGACCGAGCGTGTGAGCAACGATGAGGAGGCAAACAAGGATGAGGCTTATACTTAATATCAGGAAGAGGCAGCTGAAGTTTCTGGGACAGATGATGAGGAAGGAGGGCCTGGAGAATCTGATACTCACGTGTCGAATAG